ACGGCATGACTCCGACCGCCTCCCACTCGGCCCTCCGATACCTCGACCGAAACCCAGCTCTCACCGAAGAAATCGACATGGAGCGAGATGGCCCGATCCAAGCATGGATCGAGTACGACGGGACCACGGGCCTCGTCAACTTGACGATCTCGCCAATTGACATCCCCAAGCCCATCCACCCCCTCATCTCCCGGCCCATCGACCTATCAACGGTCCTCATCGACCAAGGAATGTACGTTGGGTTCTCAGCCGCCACCGGGGAACAAACGAGCTCTCATTACATCCTGGGGTGGAGCTTCCAATTAAATGGGCCGGCCGATCACCTCGATCTCGCTCGTCTCCCGGTCGTGCCGCCCGACGACGACAACTCCTCCCCCTCGAGAACTAACCTCCGGACGGCCCTCATCGCGACCCTCTCGGTCGTGCTCTTCATTCTTCTAGCAGCGCTAGCCGGTAGAGTTTTCTACCGAAAGGTTGCCTCGAGTTTCGAGATGCTCGAGGATTGGGAGCTCGAAAGCCCGCATAGGTTCCGCCACGTAGACCTCTACCGGGCAACCGGAGGATTCAAGGAGAGTGCGAAAATCGGGTCGGGAGGATTCGGGTGCGTCTACAAGGGAATCTTACTGTCCACCGGATGTGAAGTCGCGGTCAAAAGAATCAAGTCGAACAACCGAATACAGGGGATGAGGGAGTTTGCAGCCGAAATCGAGAGCCTCGGTCGGCTTAGGCACAAGAACTTGATCAACCTTCAAGGCTGGTGCAAGTACAAGGATGATCTCCTCTTAGTTTACGACTACATCCCGAACGGAAGCCTCGAATCCTTACTCTACAGCTCCAAGAAAACTGGTCGAACTCTGACTTGGGAACAAAGGTTCAATATTATCGAAGGGGTCGCCTCGGGACTTTTATACCTTCACGAGGAGTGGGAGAAAGTCGTGATCCACCGTGATGTAAAATCGAGCAACGTTTTGATCGACCGGGACATGAACCCCAAGCTCGGAGATTTCGGGCTGGCCCGATTGTACGATCATGGGAAAATCGACCACACAACAAATGTTGTGGGGACAATCGGGTACATAGCACCCGAGCTGGCTCGAACGGGAAAGGCCTCTAAGGGCACGGATGTCTTTGCGTACGGTATTTTGCTGCTTGAAGTGGCGTGCGGGCGGGGCCCGGTCGTGTATGAAGTGGACAGGAACGTGATTCTTGTTGATTGGGTGGCAGAGTGCTTGCTCAAGGGGGATCCATTCGGGTCGGTCGACTTTAGGTTGGGCTCGGATTACAATGTGGAGGAGATGGAGTTGGTTTTGGGCCTCGGGCTGCTTTGTTCGCACGCTCGGCCCGAAAAGAGGCCCACGATGAGGCAAGTGGTGAAGTATCTCAACCGGGACGAGGTTTTGCCCGTTTTTGATAAGTTGAGCTCGACTGGGTCGAGGAGGGTTGACGAGATCACGTCGAGGTTTTTGGCGTTGGGGTTGACCGATAGTGTTGCGACGAGTGAGGCTATAACGGAGTCGTTTAGGTCTTTTTCGATTGGGCCGTTGTCTAATAGTACTTCGTGCGAGTCGGGGAGGTGATGAGATTTAATTTAAGGCTAGCTTGTCAAATTTTACTTAGAGATATAATGTTAATAAATTTACTAATAATGTATAATCTTCCTTAAGTAGACATTTATATTTTTTCCCTGATAAGAACTCGTTTCTTCATTAATAAATAATACAGTTTTTATTTGTAACGCTTTTTCTTCTTTTTGCAATTTCGTGATCAAAAGTCTCACTGGTCACTGTATCTACACATTACATTTTTTTTTTTTTTTTTTCTCGGTACTATGAAAGAGACCATAGACCTAGAAGTTCGTTTAGGTGTAATTACATTTCTTGATTAAGGTGTAATTAAGAAACTTCTGCCTCATAACTCAAAAGAATTAATTTCCACAAAAATATGAAATAACTATCAACTTATCTAGATCATTAATTATTCTAAGTTTTAAGAAGAAACTAAAAAGAAAATAACAAAACCCACATAAAACAAAGCTCTGCAAATGCAACTCACACACATCTCTTCTTCATCATTACCATGCACAAGAATTTCCATACAAATATGATCACCAGCTCCAAATGAAGAACATGAAAGCTCCATCGATCAACGGCTCTTTCTCTGATTGTTGCCAATTATAGTGTCGCAAACCGGGCTTCCAACCCGACATGGTTTGGGCTTCATCCTCCATGGAAAAATGCTACCTAAACCGCAACCCTTTGGCGAATGGTGTGAGTGTGATCCCCTAGAGAAATAGTCACTCGAATGATGATAAATATAATCGGGCGAACTCGAGAAAGGAAATTTATTGTTTATAACCGATGCCTCGGCCAAGGCTTGAGCATCTAGAAGAAATCTCTCTATGATAAAGCTCGGCATATCTGATGAGCTTCTGTCCTTTGTCGTTTTTTTACACCCAACCTCAACATGATCATCATATGTTGACTCGGCCAATGAGAATAAGTCAATGGCATCCGAAAAGCCTTCGTTTCGGCTGCATTTTTTTTCATCATCGGAAAGTGGTGGTGGACGCCACCATGGCGGCGGTTTCGGAGGAGGAGGAAGGGCAATATCGTCATTTACATCCTTATCTTTGGGCTCCCCGGGAATCCTTTCCCACGAAAAAGGCACCATGTTGCCGGCGTTGGAATATTCCTGCCATGTTGGCATATTATTGTCGGTTGTTATGGATAAAGGGCGCCGAGTCGACAAAGGGGGGACGTTCAAGTCGAGTTTTCCCGGGCATTCTCCATGAAGAATTTGTTTCTTGTTTTGCTCCATGAGTTTGTGAAGTGATTCTTTTTTTTTTTTTTTTTTTTAAGTTGTGTGTTGAGATTTGAACAAGTAACTCCAACAAGGAAGCTTTTGATAAGTAGTAACTCCAACAAGGGTAATAAATTCTGGACAGTTGGGATTATCATGTGCATCTCGTGGATACTTGGGGAAAAAAACTCATAAAGGTTCACTTTTGAGAGTTCAAACTTCAAAGGTCTCTTACATAAACCATAGCTTTTTTAGGCACAAACCTGAAGTGATAACACGTGTGTTGGGAGACTTAAATTCTCATGCATATTAGGATGGATTAATTTTGCAATAACTTAAACAAAGCTAAAAGCAGAGGAAGACTCTGGGCATAAATAGGAGAAATATCTTATCTGCCAACACATTAGAAAGCAACAGCAGATTGATTATACATACAGACCTTGATCACAAGCTGCAATTTAATGTACATAAATACTTTTTAAAAGAAAACAAAAAAAAAATGCAAGCACTTTCTTGTGTCAATTTCAATGATACAGAAACATTGTATCACATAACAATTTGCTCAGAAGGTCATGTGAGCACATCAATAATCTACCTTTAACCAAAATAATAAATAAAAATGAAAAAAAAAGGAGTATGTGTGAGTTTACAAGGAATTTTCTCTCTAAAGGTAGATTATGGGTGAGCTTAACATAACCTTATGACCTCACATAATCTACCTTTTTCTCCAAGTCGTCTGCAATTTACACACTCTTTCCATTTTCCTTTGGCCGCTATTCACAAAGCTCGTAAGGAGACTTGGGGGAAAAAAACTTGCTCCATGAGCCGTGCTGTGAAAACAACGAGAATTACGAGATATCCACCAAAAAACAATGAGAATCTCTTTCATGATATCTCACTTTTGTATTTCACTAGCCCTTTTTAGAGCTTTTCGATAGAGCTCGATTGTATCCGAGTGATTAGGTTCGAGACAAAGGGCTGCCTCACAGTCTCGGATGGTAGAAGAATAATCTCCCATAGAATCATGGAATGCGGCACGAAGATGAAGCAGCTGTAGGTCCGATTTGAAAGCAATGGCTTTCGTGAGCTCTGAAATTGCTTCGGCTTCCTTATGGTCATCCATCAAAACTAAAAAGGAAGATGCCATTCAGTTACCAGAAAATTCATGCAGAAAGTGGCGCTTAAAAAAAGGAGCTCATCTGAAAATACACTTTATTCATCCATATAACCATAAACTATATATTCAGTATCATATGCCAATTCAACAAATAACTTCTGTATTGCTCTTTCCTATAATCACATTCAGGTTACCTTCATAAGTACCAAAGTTCAATTTTTTCTTCATGTAAAAGCATTTATATGTAGCCTCTAGGAAGTTTAAGTCCGCCAATTATCTCTATAAGTTACCATCTCTATCAGTTTTCAGCATCCTTCATATTTAAACTGAGTAATGATGTTCATTTTTTATTTCTGGTCACCACTTTTGGGTAGGACGAAAAATATAGGAGAAAATAAACAGGAAACAGAGGAAGAGTCGTAGTGCACCGGCAGCTCAATCATACCACATGCTAAAAAAAAGAGGGAAAAACATCTATTGTAGAAAGAGAGGAGATGACCAGACAGATTTTTTTTTCTCCTTTTTTCTGCAAATTGTATTAATCGGGGCAAAACTCACCAGCAGCCCGATATCGATATGGATAAGTCCTCAACGGGTCAAGTCGGGTCGCCATGCTGAGGTCGCTCTTGGCCATGTCACGTTCGCAATACTCCGAACGTTTCTCATAAGCCGATGCATTGTACTGCGCCTTATCGATCAGCTTTGTCATCTCGTCAAATGCGGCCTTTCTCAGGTTCTTGAGGTGGTACACTCGGGCCAGGCCCTGGTGGGCCCTCGTGTGCTTGATGTTCAAAGCATTCGTGTAGCAGTCAGCCGCATGGTCCAACTTATCCACGTCAATATAGACACTCGCTAGATTACTTAGAGCCTGGAAGGTCAATACCAGTCAATACATAGTAAGACGAGTCATTTAACTCTTGAAAAAAAAAAAAAAAAAAAAAAAAAAAAAACTTACTTGTCCTTTCCTAAGACCATCAGAGGGACACCTGAGGGCCTCCTCGAGAAGCTGGATAACATAGAAAGACGAGTCGTGATCGGTTGTCTTTTCGGACAGAACGTATGCTTTGAGGAAAAAGGCCTCAAACGAACGCTGAATTGAGATGGACTCCTCGGCTTTCGCTATGGCTTCTTCACGGTACCCTGTGTCATATAGAATCCATCCCTCATAGACAAGCCTCTCGTGCTCGGAAGCTGCATGGTTTCGGGCCATTCTTAGACTTCTCATGGCAGCCTTGTGGCAGTTTAATCTAGGCCAACATAGTAAAGTTACTCCAAGAAGTTAGTAGATCAAAGTAAAATACTGGGATAAATAATAGGCATAGCCCTGACACCTGAGGTTCTGTCAAATTACCAGAAAGAAAAATCAAAAAACAACAGCCATCTACCAAATTGACATACCTAGTTAAAATTAATTTTCACTTTACCAGTTAACCTTACTAGATGTATTTCTTCAAGTAAATAATAAAAAAAAAAATCAGTATTTAACATTTACCTTAGCAAAAGCAAAGATTGTCTGAACCTCAAAAGGCTCTTCCCAGGATCATTAGACAACATATGATGAACAACGGCTAAAGAACCAATATCATCCACAGAAGACCACCTATCATACAGCTTCATCCAACAATCGGCCTGGCTACACTGCTGCACGTGATGACATAGAAGCTCAACCAGCTGATCCCCCGGCAACTTCCCATGAAACATCATATACTGAGGATCTAAAGTCAAGAGAGCACGCACGTCGGTCAAAGCCCCTTCGTATTCCTCCAAAGCAATCAAGAACCAAGCACGCAGTTCAAGACAATCGGGCGAGACCTTAAAACCAATAATCTTGTTAATTTCGGATATAGATGCACCGACTCTGTCCTCCTCCATCATTGAAACAGCTCTGTATTTGTACGGGAACGAAAGCGTGGGGTCCATTTCAGTTGCCGTGTTGAGATCCATCATTTTCTCTTTCCCACTACCATATAACGACCGTTCTTGATACATCCACCCGGCAGCTGGCGGGTAATCAGAAATTAGCGAGTTCATTAATTTATACGCTTTGTATTTATGCCCACGCTTGTTAGTCGCCCTCGCAACACCCACCAAGGAATAAACGTGGCCCGCCTCAACAGCTGCCTCGAACCACTTCTGAGCATCTTTGTACTCTTTCCTCTCGAGCATTACGCAACCCAGCTGGTGAAAAGCCAGTTGCTTCTGCCAGTCCTCGTTAGCACACTCTCCCATCCTCTCCAACAGCATAACTGTGGTGTTCGACTTCATGTCCTCCTCCATAGCTATCTGACTCAACAAATTGTATAGCATAAAAGACGCGTGCCCGGCCTGACTTAACCTGTCCTTAGCCTCCGAGCTGCAGAAAACTTTCATCACATTCGGATTGTGCATGCAATTCGGAAGCTCCCTCAGGAACACCTGTAAACAAGCCGCCACCAGTAGGTACGCGGTCTCATCCAGGCCGTACTCGACTAAAAGCACAGCAGTATCCATGTCATCGACGAGAGCTGCCAAATACACATCACATGCGGATTTCATCTCGAAACAGCAGAATCTATTGGCCAGGACCAGGAGCTCGAAAACAACATTCGGGTCAAAAGAGTCTACGCTTTTCGTCCTGCTGAAGACCTCGGCTGCCCGCATTGCCTTTGCCGAGATCCCGTTCTGGGTGAAATATATCCTCTCCTTTTTCGACTCCATAAAGCTACCGTAAAGCATCGACTTGAATGGTCTAGAGAGGGATGCGATTTTGTAACGGTTGCACCTGACTTCATCGTCAGCTATACAAAACCACATATCATAATCATCGTCATCTTCATCTTCATCAACGCCATTATCGCCATCATGAAAAGTCGAGGTCGAGCACTCCTGGCCCTGCGAGTCGAGCCCATTCTCCTCCGGAGTTCGGGAGCACGAGCAGGTGTCATGGGAAGACTCGGGATTGTACCCCGAGACGAGGGACATTTTCGGGCATTCCATGTTCCACCCACTGCAGTCCATAGCCGAGACCCCAAAAAGCTCGTCCTCCCTCCTCTCGAACCTCAGCCAGGCCGAGAGTATAACCTTGGAATGCACGTCAACAGCATGCTGCCTGGCCGAGCGCAGGCACCTCCTGAAGAGCTTCGGGTCGGGAAGCCAGCGGAAAATCGCGCACTGCTCCATGTAAAACTCGGATCTCCTAGATTCAGGGCAGGCCTCAAGCCGCCTGTAGACTTCGGCCAGAGTCCCAACAAAATCGACGAACCTGAGGCACGGGTCGATCTGTGGCTCGATGAGATCCGTCTGCGGGGGACCGTAGATCGCGAGGGCCTCAGACACAATGTCGGAATTTAGATTGTTGGGCTGGGAGAAACTTTGGTAGCGCCGATGGGATTTCGACCGGACTGAGTTTACCCGGAGGTGATCCTGCAAATGTTGGAGGAATTTCTCCCCGACGCCGCCGCCTGCGGCTCCGCTGGCCGTCGGGTTGAGGGCGTAGACCTGGGTACCTTTACACCCATCCATCATCTTCAAACTGCGCATTGTATTGAATATGTGTTGCGGCATCTTTGCTCAATCAAAAACCAAAAACCAAAAAAATAAAAAGCACCACCTTGTGAACAAATCTAACAGAATCGTAAAGCGAATGCAAGAAAATGCAATCGGGTTCAGCTAAATGTGGGGGAAATAGACCAAATCTGTACCTGCAATCACCGCCGTTGACCGATAAATGCGATTGATTTATGATCAAATCAAGCTCCTTTCTTCATATTGGAGAGAGCTACGAACATGGATTTTCAGAGATTCCCCCTCATTTTCTCTATTATTAGTATCTCACAAGCTTTTTATTATTATTATTTTTTTAATTTGATGGCGATCAGCCATACAGGGTGGTGGTGGTGGTGGTGGTTATCGCGGTGGTGGCCGCTAATATGCACGGCCACTCTCTCTTTTTTTTTTAATTTTCTTTTCTCTGTCTAAATATAAATTGGAATTTATTATTTATAAAATATCATTAAAAAAGTTGATCTGTCTCCATAAAAGTGAAATAAAAGAGACGAGTGCGTGTGATGAAGAAAGTATGCAAAATAGAGACTTAAAAAAAATAAAAGCCGTTCAAAATGGAGAGCCGCTGAACTGTTACAAATATAAAACCCAAAAAAAATATATAATGTTGTATTTTTCTCAACCCGCATTTTTCTCAAACAGAGCTTTCGACTTGTTTCGGTTGAGTTGATTTTATACGAATGAGTAAAGGTTGAATTGATTAAATTTTATTTGATTAACAAGTCGTTGAAACTCAAAAATAGATAATGTTATATAATATTAAGAAATGTATTAAGTTCGAGATCGAGTCTAGATCGAGTATCAATAGCTCGAGACAACTCGTTAACTAAAAGTTCATCTCCTTTTAACTGGAGTACAAAGTTTGTGTGCTCGACTTGTTTCTATTCAATTCATTTTATATGAACGAGTCAAGTTTGAGTTGATCAGGGCTTGATTGGAAATTAACTAGTAGTAGGTAATTTAATTGTTTGTTACTAGTAAAGCAGAACAATAGAACTAGTATATTTTTACTAGATCTGAATTTTCGTTCTCCATATAGGCCCACCAAAACATCTGTTCCGCACTATTGTCACAAGAAAATTGTCGGCAGTGACGGATCTAGGAATTTCGCTCAGGGGAGTCCGATTTTAAATGTTATAACGAGCTTTTAGCTTAAGTCAAAACGTTCATTTCATAAATTTGAATATCGATATGTGTAGCGTCAAGTTTTTCATGCTTATCCAAATGTAAATGGAGAGAGAGTAGTAATCTATTAATATATAAAGAGGCAACCTAAATAATTACAAAATAGTAAACAAAAAAATAAGATGAAATCCCGCCTAAATCTTTACTAATAATAGTAACTTTTTTGACAAATTTTCGCACTACCCCGCCTATTCAAGCCCAGTTTTATTTTGAAATTTTCAAAAATCTAATCTAAAATCTCATTTTTTTTTTTTTTTTTTTGGTACATAAAATCTCAAATTTTTGAAGCATATCCGGTTGAGGAAATCAAATAAAATCAAATCATTATTGTTAAAGATAATTGACCACTCCTAACAAACCCCTGTTGCGGCTCAATAGGCACATTGTATACAAATTACGATGGAGACATTTTTCAAATATTAATAATTTTACACTTCAAGTGTAACCATAAAAAAAAAGAGAGAAATTACTTAAATAATTATATTATTTCTTTTTATTTTTTTATCTATTACTATAAAAATTTAATGTTTGAAAAACTCCAAAAAAATAATTCTATTTTTCCCGCTTCGATTTCCCACCTACAATATATTTTCGGTAGTTTTTTGTTAATTAATTAATAGGAGGTCCGCATATATTTGGGATGTTGTAGTCATCTAAATCCTTATTTTTAGGATGAGATAGCATTTTGTACATTTTAAAAATCTGATTTATATTATACCGTAATTACCGTTCTTTTTCTATTTTTTTTTGGTGATGGAATTTAGTTTATTTTTTATAAACCGATTTAATTGACTATTTCACCTTAATTACCATTTTTTTCCTTTTTTTTTTATGGAATTTTTACATAAATAATACACTAAATCACAAAAAAAAAAAGGATTACAACCAACTTTGTAAAATCCTATATAAATCCATCACTCCTTTAGGTCTTCTTCACTTCTCTAGGAGGAATGTTTTTATGCGGTGCTAACGATTTAATAACTATCTTTGTAGCTTCAGAATGTTTCAGTTTATGCTCCTACCTATTATCTGGATATACCAAGAAAGATGTACGGGCTAATGAGGCTACTATGAAATATTTATTCATGTGTGTTCGAATTGTTAAAATTCCAACTATTATTTGGTTTAAGTTTATTGTAAATCTCATCTATTATTTGATTACTATATATTTAAAATCTAAAATAGGTTGGATCGGGTTTAAGGTGATAAGCACGATCATTTTTGTTGTGGGAAATCAGACAAAAGGTATATTGTTTTAGATATAAAATTTGATTTCATTTGATAAGCCCAATCAAATTTGATTATGACCGAATCAAATAATTTTGAATAATATTAAATTAGTCGATTACTATTAAATTATTTTTATTTAATTGTCATGTCTAAAATTTTCCAAAATACTATTTTTATTTTTT